TAACAGAATAATACAAATGTATGCAGCAACGAATTCACTTGGGAAATAATGGCCAAAACAAATGCCTAACAAAGCGATGCTATGCAACCCAGAAAAGCGACAAAGATGAGTGATGGACGACTGTTCGCGAAGGACGAGTCGTAAAAGTGGGACGTTGATGACATGATGGGATCACTTTTGTACTGCCAGATTCTCGCCAAGTCTCGACTCCATTAGGATCGATTTACGCAAATAGCTCTGCAATCCGTAAGGCCCCGGGATCTCTCCCCTAATAGCTCTACAGTTCGTGAGGTCCTGAGATCTCTGTGTTACTTATGTTCTTCTGTCGAGGGAAAGTGTGTCTTTTAGATTATTTATAAAAAACCACGTATACGGGAGTAATTCTAACTTGCTTTCTATTCACTTTTGATATTCTTTTTTTATTTCCTTTAACTTTGATTATAATATAATACCACTTTTACCTTGGGAAGAGAATCTAGATACTCCTTTAGTGACATCTCAATGTCTTATTTCTGACTAGATTAGGTGCGTCCAAAGTGCCGGATTGAATTCAATTTTATCTGTGATAAATCGGTCATGGTAGGCTTCATGTGCCTATGTTCACTTCATTTTTTGGCTTCAAACCAGACGGAATAACTTGATTATTTTTAAAACCGACGTAACGCTTACATATCTTTGTTGTAATGAGAAAATAACATTTTTGCAGAAATTGCGTAGTAAACGCCCCGATGAAATGCACGATATGCCAGATTCTTCATCCGGTACTTATGCAACGGCTTTTACCTCTCTATGGTCTCTTAGTGATATGTTTATTTCAGCAAGCGAACCAGAACTAGCTGCAAGCAGGTTACCCATACAAACAATTTGTATTTTTGGCATTTGTTTTCAGACTGGTTGTCATAAGCATTTGCAAAATACGAGTGAGATATCACTGGTTTTTGCGGCCGCCAAATCAATGAAGCAGCACTCAAACAGCAACATCCTAGAGTAACATTCTGCGCC